ATAATTATGCAGGCAACACCAGAGTTGGAATATGGGCGTATGAACATCGGGAGTCGGCCTGCAAAAAGGAAACCAAGTGGTGGAATCGAATCACTACGAGCAATCCCTTGGATCTTTGCTTGGACTCAGACAAGGTTTCATCTGCCAGTTTGGCTTGGCTTTGGAGATGCTTTTAAGCATGTTATTGAGAAGGATATTAGGAACCTCCAAATGCTCAGAGACATGTACAGAGAATGGCCCTTCTTTAGAGTCACACTTGACTTGGTTGAAATGGTCTTTGCAAAGGGTGACCCTGGCATTGCTGCTATGTACGACAAGCTTTTAGTGTCTGCCGATTTGTGGCCACTTGGAGACCAGCTAAGGGCCAAGTATGAACTGACCAAAAGCTTTCTCCTTCAGGTAAGATTACCCTCTTCGGTGGAGACACAATTGTATAGGATATTTCACATCGTAACCACTGCTGCAAAAATTAGTAAACTTTGTAGGCAAATATTACACTTCTTTGAAAGTTATATAGAAATAGTAGACATCTATCACTATAATTTGTTATTCGTGTTTTTTTTAAATTTATTTAGGTATTTTATGTGTATGGCCACAGGGTGCCTGTTAGGCGCTCGACTAAGCTATGCACTAGGGGTTAAAGTATGCTACATTGTGAATTTACCAACCCCACCTATCACCCTGCATAAGAAATGATTCTGCATACCTTATTCAGTACCCCTACGTGCCACTATCTCTATCCCACTCTTTCTTTTTGTCCATCTCACTAAATTTGCCCCATAGCACAGTAATGATTTTGCTTTTACTTCATTCATAATTTACAAATTCAATACCAACCACATTATATCACTTTTCATCATAATTGGGTTTGGGACATTTCCTCATGTCCCAATTTTAGTGTGATGGAGATAGTAGTTCAAATGGTTGAGACTAGAGATGGGCATAGCCTGCTTCGGTTTCCAAGACCTTTAAAGCGGTTGTCCATAAGCCCAACCGGGTATAGGTGGCCAGGTTTATTTGGACAATTACAGTCTGATTTTTTTGGCTTGGTTTTGAGGAATCGTAACCGATTCAGAGTGAGATCAGGTTCACCCCCAGCTGAGGCTCATATTTCAGAATATTATTGAGCTGAGTTAAGTTTAAAAATTTGAGCCATTCAGTCACATATTGATTTTTGCAACCTGTCTTGACTATCTTCTTCTGAATTAGGTTGCTGGGCACAAGGATCTTCTTGAAGGGGACCCCTACTTGAGGCAGCGACTCAAGCTCCGTGATTCCTATATCACCACACTCAATGCGTGTCAAGCATACACACTTAAGCGGGTCCGTGACCCGAGCTACAATGTGAAGGTGAGGCCCCATCTGTCCAAAGAGATAACAGAGTTGAGCAAAACGGCTGCTGAGTTGGTGAAGCTTAATCCTACAAGCGAATACGCTCCTGGGCTGGAAGACACTCTCATCTTGACCATGAAAGGTATTGCTGCTGGAATGCAAAACACCGGCTAGGCTTATTGCTGCGTTCGATTCTCTGATGTTTTTTTTGTACAATGCTTTTTATATACCAGCGTATTTAATAAAACTGTGAGGGAACCATCAGGAGAAGACTTATTTATACATGTACTGCATATTATATTTATCAATGATGACTTGTCTGCTGCCCGAAAATCAGTCTTTTATATAGAAGTGTCATTTACGACAAGTCGACAACTACCTCAATTCATGAATGTCTGGTTTCTGACAATGGACGATTATGGAATTTTATCTCATTATTATTATAACTATTGTACTAAAACCATTCTATTTGCTTGGTTTGTATACGGCTTAAAATAGTGGAAATGTGTTACTGATGTTTATCAGAAAAAAATATGGACCATAAATTCTCTTAAAAATAAAATGTAGTTCCTCCATTCTTAAATAGTTGCATCACTTTGATTTTGAAGAATAGCTAAAAATAATGATCCCAGCTTTCTCTATCAGACAGCAATAACTAAACCCTTAAAAGACTAACCTAAAATTTAAGAGAGATTGGAGAGCTTTAAACACCAAGTTTGTTAGACTAATATTATTTACACTTAAACATTGGATCATATTAGTCCTATATGATAATATGATGAATAAAAACTAGGAAGTCATATTTTGAAATTAAGTTGAGTTTTAGTCCTATAATAATAACGAACAAAATTTTCAAGTTTCAATGGGTACTGTATAGGAAATTGCCCTATACAGGAAGAAGTAAAAACATTGGGAATTCTAAATAGAATTACTATGTTTTTATCTCCTAAATAAAAATAATGATTACGGTGTTTTGATATTATCAAACTTTAAACATAATATTATTATTATAATCTAAATTTGATGTTAATTACTCATGTCTATGGAATTATAACATAGTATTCATATTTTGAAATTTCAAAATGTTTTTACTCATATTTCGGAAATTTTCCATATACCATATGTCTTATATATGTTTTTCATGGGAAAATACGATAAGTATAATTTTGTCAAGTTTATATGGCTACAATGTGCCTTATATCTATTCTAATGAAAAAGTAAAAAAGTTCCATTTATATAAAATAGTCCCGAAGTCCCGAAGTTCAATTTTCAAGTTTCAATGACGATGAATGATCAAGCATGTACTTCATCCATCCCGAAACAACTTATATTTATTTATGTAAGGTAAAATCTTTCTCTGCATTCCAAACCATACACCTACTTTATACTCTCTCCGTTCTTTTTTATTAGTCCTCTTAGGGTTTGACACGGGTTTTAATAATAAAGTAGTAGGGTAAATAATAAAGTAGGAAAAATGGTATATTAAAAACTAAAAAGAGTAAAATGATGATAAAGTATGAAAAAGAGTGTATTAAGAAGAGTAAAATGATAGTAAAATAGGAAAGAGAAAGTAGTTTGTAAAAGTGGGGTAAAAGTAATAAAAGTGAAGGTATTTTCTCAAAAACTTTCCTTAAAGGGAAAGGAGGACAAATAAAAAAACGTCTCAAAAAGGAAAGAAGGACTAATAAAAAAGAACGGAGGGAGTATCAAATTTAATAAACAGTAAGGATAGTTGTTATTTTTGAGGCATATAAACAAGAAAAGTGAAAATTTATTTTTGGAATGGAGGTAATATGTGATAAAATCGTTATATTTGCTTGATTTTGATTTGTTAAGGTAGTATCAGAATATTGGGTTGGAGTGAGTATGTGAGTTTGAATCAAGTAAGGCCTGGGCTCTCGGGTCAAGTAGGGTCTTAATTAGTTGAGAGGCAGATATATTCTTAAAGAATTAAAAAACGGTATGTAGAGAAGCACAATTTTTTAGATCTTATTTTTGCATAATAGTACCTCCGTCTAAAAAGGTTTGTCTTATTGACTTTTCTTGTTCAAAGATGACAAATTTTGGATAACTATTTTAATTATTATATTTTTGTACTACATATAATTTATAAATTTTATACTTTTTATTAAAATACTTTTAATAAGGAAAATTTTAATATAATTTTTTTTCATATTCAAAATAATTTCGTGTTAAAAATATCATCAATCAAAGGTGACTAGCATTGATCAAGAATAGTCAATTTGGGAAACCTTTTCGAGACGAATGAAGTATGATTTATGAATTCCTACGTAGACCAGAGGGGCCTCACCAGTGGAAAACTGGTTTATTAGAAAAATATTTATTAAAATACCATTTTTTGAAAAAAAAAACTTTTATATACCATATTTTGAAATATATGCAAAAGAAAACCATAGAACACTTTCTCCAGTTTGAATTGTATTTTGGAACTGAAAAAGTTTTAATCCAAGCATGTTTTTTTATAGATATATCTCAATTTTATGGAGAAATATCAATCTTTCCCAAGTTTGTTATAGTGAGTGATTAATGAAAGATGTTTGGACAAAGCCTCTACAAAAGTTAGGAAAGAGTTCTGAAGGGAATAACACCAAATAATGATAATGAGGAAACAATATAACAAAGAAACAATATCACAATGATAATGAATCTTAATAAGGAAACAATGGTGAAGATTCCAAACACTCAACTTGCTTGGAATTGAAAGTGGTCCACCCCAAGAGTCTTGCTGAAAAGGTTTGCTACTTGATTAGACGAGGAAATGGGCTGAGATTGAAAGTTCCCACTAGCAAACCAGCCACGTATAAAATAGTGATCCATTTCAACATGTTTCGTGCGTTCATGAAAACCGGATTACGAGTGCATATACTGTTTCATTTTATCAATGCATATATATCTCGACTATGAGGGAATGTTGGATGTGTACAACTCATTAAGTGAAGATGGAAAGAGAGAATTTATGCATATACTGCTTCTGGAGTCGAGGAAAATGGGCTCTATGTTTCGACTATAATCTCACCCAACAGGCACTTGTTGCTGTAGATGAGGGTGCCTCCATCTGCAGGGACCTCATCACAACCTCCCTCTCAGATCCCGTGCATGGGGATATGCAAGCATGTCCCCAGTTGAGACTCGAAGTTGACATATATGTGCCTCCCCAGATGCGGATTCACTCATCCCTAGTTGAGCCAGTATACCAAGTAAAACAGCTCTTGAAGACCATCACTTTATGCAAACTCGCTTTGTATTAGAGGTCTTTTTTACGCCACTCACCTCCGAAAAGGCTCTATCTTGCACGAGTTCTCCGCCATTTTCCATTCTATCCCTCCAACAATATTAGTGTTTCATCCAACAGCAACCTAAAGATGTTGCTGGACTCATTCAGAAGTCATAAGAATTCAAACATTAAGATTATTTCTTCTCTTTCTTGTTCAAACGAATCTGAATGATTTAAAAATTAAATAAGAATGGCTCCACATATGCTTTGGATTTGTAGTTGTTTCAATAAGTGATGGGGATAATAAGTGCTGAGGTGCTGACTGAAAATTGCTTTAATAAAACTATGTGTCAAAATTATTGCGAGGATTTATTTAGGACGGATCATCGACTATTTGATTACTATTTGCTTTGCTTTAATAGCTTTATCATATTTACGTTATCCTTATCACTCTTTCGGGACTGAGGGTAGTTCAAAACAAATACACTGAAAGGGCTTCTTCTTATGCTCAGGCTATATGTATATACATGCAAAATAACACGTTCAGAATCTCATGTCCTCCAAATTATCTATTCACTCATTAAACTGCTGAAATAAGGACATACAAGCATCAACTGAAAATTCTGGTTGACAAAAAGCAGATCTTGCTGTACATTTGTCTTCATCAAGAATGTCAAGAGCATATGTTGTTTCCTGCAAATTGTAACAACCCATTTTGATGCATCTTATCTTTCCTTTGTACCAACGATAACTCTCAACAGACTAATGGCATGCACAGAAGTCGAAAATTACCTTCCCATATGATCCTCTGATATATCCCACTAAAACAAGCTCCATCTCACAATCATTGGCATTCTCATCATTTCCCTCAGGTAAAAATGCTTTCTGCAAAGGCATAACATTTCAACTAATGTCCAAGAAAAAGAAAACAAAAAAAAAAACATGAATAAGGTATAACCAGGCCGTTTTGTTTTATACTCACAATATGCCGCTCTAAACTACAGTTATTATTTTCCCATCCAATGCTGACAACAATCTTCAGTAACTTGTTTGAGTAGATTTTTGCCCATCCCATATAAATCCCGAAAACTTGATCAGGCAGACCAGCCAACATATCATCTACGAACATCAACATTCATTAGATACACATATAGGAAAAAGATCACATGAGAAATGGATATATTTATTTCTCACATGTGAAATATAACTTATAGTAACCAGAATATAACTTCTAACGAAACTTTCAATCTACTTCTTTTACGATAAAAACTAGATTTATTTCATGAATGTTTTATCATAACAACAAGAAGTTATATGTTTTGTCATAAAAGTTAAAAACTTTGTTACTATAAGTAATATTTCATGAGTGAGAATTTCTAAGTTGATCATCTCTCCTTATATATATAGGTTTGGACTCGGGTCGGGCCGGGTCTGGGTCGGGCCTAGGCCCGGCCGGGCTTTTGATGTTTGGGGTGAAGGCCCAGGACCGGCCCGGGTTACCACCGGGTCCGGGTCAGGCCGGGCCCATGTTATTTTTTTTTCTTTTCTAATTAACCCCCCACCCCCCAAACCCCTTCAAAACACACAGCCTAACTCAGGAAAAAGCCCAAAAAATGAAAAAAAAAAAACGAACCGGAACCGGCCGGGCCGGTTCCAAAGAGTGGGCTGAACCGGGATCACCCCACCCTAACCCCCGGGACCAGGCCTAAGCCCGGAACCATAACCGGTTCACCGGGCCGGGCCGGGCGGCCCGACCCGAGTCCAAGACTATATATATAGACTCATAAACCTGTGGATTCATTGAGAAGTCCATTGCTGTAGAAGCCTTTGAAAGAAATGGGTTCAACTGGCAACACATTATCTACCACTGCAATAATAATTACAAAAAAACCCAATAGAAGTCAGATCCAAGCAATAAAACTGTGAGTATAAGCAGAGAAGGTGGATATCTATGTAGGGGGTGAGTATGCATACAGTCCGCAAACGGTGGAAGACCCCAAATTTCAGGCTGTAACTCAAGAATGGAATGCAGCACATAATCAGCAACAGAAAACTGATGGATTCCAATATTTACTGATGGCACAGCAACTACCTTCATTCCAGCAGCTTTTGCTGCTTTGACTCCAACTCTGTAAAAATTACAATGAAAATTTAAAACTTTCCACACTCTGGTTAGTAATGACCTATTTATTCTCTTAGCCCGAAATAAATAGATAAATTTGATATGAATTGTTTTAAGATCTGGTCTGGGTAAAGTCTTTCTTGTCTAATATGCAACATCTGCTTGGTCTAATCTCAATTGATATTTATGAAATGGTCTGGTTTGAATATAATTATACCCCCGCCCCTTCCCCAAGAAGAAGGTAAGTAATTATAAGGAATAGTATGAAGGAAAGCTTACACCGAGTCCTCTATCACAAGACAATTTGCTGCATCTACGTTCATCCTCTTTGCAGCTTCACGAAATCTGAGCAGAAGATAAAAAATGACTTCATCTATGTGCCCATAAAGGTAACTGAGCAATCTAGAGGAATCATGAATATTTATCCATCTTAGCATACATGTCTGGGGCAGGTTTCCCTAATCTAACTTGGTCACTTCCGAGAATCACCGCAAAGCGTTCTTTCCATCCTGTGAAAGTAAAAGAATGTGTGTTTATAAGGAAAGATAAAACATCTCATCAAATTGAATCGCAAACAAATGGTTCAACTGAACTAGACACCACTTCATGGTAAATAAAAGATGATCCTTTTCATTAGGAGAAGGAATAACAAGGTTCACATCCATAATAAAAAGTTGATATCAGGTAAGAAGAAAAGGACAGGGAGCTATATATCACATATGATTTTATATTGTCAATCTTAATAGAGCCTCACATATATACCAAGATATAGACTTAGTCTATCAAACCCTCCAGAACTCTCAATCCAAACCAACCCCTTGAGAAAAAGCGGAACTATTTACAGTGTTAAGAAGTCAAAACACAACCTTCATGGTAAGAGAGTTTCCCCTCGATGTTTCTCCTTACAGAATTCGAAGCAAGTGCGAATGGAACTCCTTTCTTATGGAGATGACTCATAAGGCGGTTGGCTCCAGGAAGTGGTTTTGCTAGCGCCCACCTTACAAAAACAATGTTGATAATAACAATCCAATGAACAGTACATGCATGAAAGTAAAGTTCAATTGATCTTTGGCAACATAAAACTCAAAGAATGATTAAAAAGTGAAAGAACTTCATATCTGGTGAAGTAAGATTTGAGTTCATATGCTCATTGAGTCATTGCTCAGTTACAGTCAGATGTCAATCCTCTCTATGGAGGAACTGATAAAAATAAGATCAAGTCATAAATATCTTTAATACAGTAACTGTGGGACTTCTTCATTAAGATGGAATACAAAGCGATAGTCGTAGACTCTAAGGGTCTGTTTGTATGAAGGGTTATTAAGGGGTCTATTCCTACATAATTAGAATATTTCTAAAAACCAATAAAAGGTGATTGAAATGCTCTATGATTATATACTATGTTAATGATCCTTCAATTTTGATATAATCATGTGTGTGTGTGAAGATATATTCAGCCTCCAAAAGTCTTTCCCTCCAAAAAACCTCATCCAAACAGACCCTAAAGAGAATACTGGTGAAACAATGCTAGAGATATGGGAAATTGTAGCTGGCAAAACGAAGATTAGGAGAGTTCAACAACCATGATTGTAACTTCTTTCTACACAAGAATGACACCTTATTAAGGTAGCACACCACTTCAATTTTCTAATTCAGACATATTAGATTCATGATGAATCATAGAGTATTATCTACCTCAATGGGAAGAATCCACATAACAAATGAGTGCAGTGCAAATTTAGCTAATTCATTGAAAACCTCAAAATATGTTGTGTGCTAAATAATTCTACATATATAATCTTCTGCTAACAAGGAAAAATGGCATATTTGGTACTTTCGTTATGGTGATATTGGGCAAACAGTCCCTCAACTGTCCACGTGACCAATTTTAGTCCTTAAATTTACATAAATGTGGCAAATTGAGTATTTCTTCTCATGAAAACATTAACTTCCAGTTGTAACTGAAATTTTAGTTTGAGCACTATTAGTTAAATTGAGAAATTATCTTAAATATAGTTTTGATCAATTATCAGATAACCACTGATTTTTATTGGATTATCCATGATACAAGCTGAATTTGTTTAGCAGATAGAAATGGTGTTTTTCTAGAAGCTTTATCCTGAATCAAGGACAAACATACGCAGAATGCAGTTATGGAAAGCAATTGTTTGCAATTCCAATCGGCTATTAACAAAGCAATGATTGATCTTTTCTCATTCAACTGTTTGATTAGAAAAGTTTCTTTGGAAGGACGAAAAGTACATCTTTTGGGACAATTCAAGGACTTAAGTGGATACACAAACATCCGAGACGCTAAATTTACTAAATCACAGTAGCTGGAAACCACAGATGACATTGAATTGTCCACTTTTACCCCTTTAGATTGTCACAGTAGTAATAACTCAAGTCTCCATCTCATGGATACGGTAACTTGTTGTAAACTCCTTTTGGAGCCACAAGCATATCCTACACAAAAGGTGCCCAAGAGCCGAGCAGCCGAAAACTGAAAGGGGCTAAACTTGGAGATAAAGTTATTGTTTCCTATTATTACTATACTTCCTCATTCTAGTTCAGAGAGCCATCCCCTTTTGAGTTATATTAGCTTTGCAACTCTTGTTTCCTTTTCTCTTTATATATCTTGCAGGCTCTGTAATTAAGCATTTTTTGTTATGGAATAAATTACTTTTCGTAGAACTCATTTGTATCTCTTGACAAGGTCGGCATCAATTAGTCTAACAACAAGCACAACTTCATTTAATGCTCACGAATATTGTTTCTCTCGATTGGATCTTGTTTGCGCATTCTTAACATAGCCTTTAAGTGTTATCAAAATGGTAGTTTTAGCACTTTCAATCATTTAAGGTGAAAAAAGATTTTGGTGACCATTATAACTCAACTTTTCTATAGGACCGATGGTGAAAACTTCCACTTTCAGGACAATTCAAGGACTAAAGTGGATATGCCAACCATTGAGGCACTTAATTCACTATATTACACTATCTAGATGATTTTAAATTGTCATTCTCCAAAAAAGAAACTATTGATTTCATAAGAATAACTTACACTTAACAGTAGCTATAAATAAATCCATAAAGCTGTGAAAGATAAGCCATACAGAGAAGAAAATATACTCACTTTCCCAGATGTAAGGGTAAGATATCCTTTATATACTGATCAGGTGTCAGTGGAAGATCGTAGTCTTCGATTATGGAACTGACAGCCTCTCTCTGAACCAACCCCATCCTTTTACTTTCCTTCTCCCTATCTGGGACTTTCCCAAATTTAGCCAAAAAATCCTTAAACACAGCCTTTGCCACCTGCTCTGTAACCCGAAATTCACAAATCCAAGAAAACAAACGTTTCAAGTGGATAGAAGAAGCAAACACAAGATATAGTTGCAGGAAACAAGTGAGTAGAGGAAATGCAGCACCTGTGTTCAAAAGGGTACCATCCAAATCAAATATGACAGCTGATATCGTATGGGTTTCTTTGATCTCATGTCTTGGCGTTGGTGAAGGATCTTCCATTGCTTGCCGAGCTGCTTGAGGATGGTAGGGGATGGGCTGGGATTGCTGGGAAGGGAACTTATAGGAAGCTTCGACTCTGCAGGCCTCTGGAGCATGTGAAAAAAGAGAGAATTCCCGCCTTAAGGCGGGGCGAAATATCCGGTAAAGCACCACTTTAGTCACGAGGACTAAGGTATACATGTAAGCTACCGTTGCTGTTCCGAGCCCAGGCGCTGTCGTACTTGGCGTGTACGATTCACAAAAGTATTTACTGTAGCCTTAGGTGTGTCCCTGTTCCGAACTGAACTAGTGTTGGAACCGAACAGTTGGTTCGGGGTTTCAACTTTCAAATCCTGAAAAACTAGAACCAGAATCGCACGGTACTAGCTCTAAAATTGCACGGTTCGATTTCGAGTTCTAATTCTTTTAGATACTCGTATTAAAGTTTAATTGACTTTTTTATTATTATTTTTTGCGAAATTAATTGACTTTTTTTAATTAAATTAATAAAGAGGTTCCCTTAGAATTATTAGATGAACTAATCTGTCATTGTTATAATTAAGTACGATAATTTTTTTTGAAGTTTCTGATTATTTATCTAATGTTTAATTATAAGAAATGAAAGACTAATATAATAGAGGTAATATTCTGTATTTAATAAAAAGAAATTCAATGTGTTTTTAGTAAAAAAAATTAAGTACAATAATAAGATACGGAGTACGAGAAAATTGCCCTAAATAGAAGTAAATGAGGTTTGAAATTCCAAAATAGCACTACTGTGTTTTTCTTCCCGAATGAAGAGTTGTTACAACCATGTATGAAAAATATTGTCATGATTGAAAAATATTGTGATTAATTATAATAAAAATTGTTATGTTAAATGCCTTTCCATCATTTGTAATGGAGCCAAAGATTCATTATTTTTTGGCTTGAGAATATGATGGAATAAAACAAAATGCCTCACCAAATTGTCTGCTTTTCTTTGTTATGAAGCAACAGTCAGTCCATGCAATTTTGGACGTGATTTTCATTATGGGTCATCCGGAAACAATCTCTCTGTGCTTTAGTACAGGGGTAAGACTGCGTACATACGACCCCCTTACTCCACCGTAGGTGGGAGCCTTGCGGCACTGGGGTAAATGATGTTTGAATGCACTGTACTGCAACTATTTGACAGTCACACATACAAGATGACAATAAATATTGTCATGTTAGCCTATTTCGGGAATAAAAACACATAGTAGTCCTATTTTGGAATCTCAAACTACATTTGCTCCTATTTTGGGAAATATCCCTAAGATACCGGGGTAGCTATAGTCAAAATTAAGCTACAATCTAAGTAGCTAACTAAGCTAGAAACATCCAGCGGACGGGTAGGAATATTTCCTAGTTAGTGCGGCAACTTTGGTTTGTCCACAAACTTCCACACAGGCTTCTGCGTTTAGGCGATCGCAGGGGCAGAACTTCAACGTTAGGCATATATTCACGTACCAGGACACTAACGTTAGGTCTCGCTCTTTTTGGGATAGACTACTCTATGTCTAATAAAGAAGTGAGAGAGCTGGTGGGCTTATGGTTATGTTTTTCTAGGAGGTTAGTGTCAAATAGTTACTTATTGTTTGCAATTCTCTTGATTGTACTGCGAGTTTTGATTTAATACTACAAATAATATACCAGTTTTCAGCCAAAAAAAGTACTCCCTCCATTTATATTTGTTTGACACAGTTTGACTTGTCAAGATTTAAGGGAAAAAAGTTATTGAGGAGTAAATTTTACTGTAGAGTACACTGTTTGGCAGTGTTTGAACATTGTTTGGCACTGTTTGAACACTGTTTGACACTGTTTTGCACTGTTTAGGTAAACATTTGTTTATCAAATAAGGAAATAAAGAAGTGTGGCATTCATTTTGAAACGTCCAAAAAAGGAAAGTGTGTCAAACAAATAGAAACGGAGGGAGTATCTAACTAAGCTAAGTAGTTAGAATTTTAAATCAGGTTGTAAAACCTACAATCTAGTGTTTCAAAAATAATTTAGTTATTAATAAATTATGTGTATTTATTACCAATAATTTTAATACAAATGTGTTTTAACTAGAAATAACAAGGGGTTTGTCCATAAATAATACAAATATAAATGCTATGGACAAATATAGGATCACTTTTAAAAAATTTCAAAAATGAGACTAAACTACTACTATTGAGCATGACTAATCTGTCCAGTGACTACCCGCCCAGGGACCAATCCGACCAGTGACTAAACCAACAAATCACCATGTTCAATTCACCCAGTGACTGTGACCAACCCGACAGGTGACCAACTCGACCAGTGACCAACCCGACCAATGATCGTGACCGATCCGACCAGTGACCAACCCGATTAACAAGTGTGATCAATCCGACATGTGACCAATCCGACCAACGAGTGTAACCAATCCGACCAGTGACCAATTCGACTAGTGACCAACCCGACTAACGTCCGTGACCAATTTGACCCATTACCATGACTGATTCGACCAATGACCAATCATTGACCAACGCCGCCCCCGACCACCAATTTAGAATATTACTGCAATGCCCTAAAAATATTTTCTCTTAACATAATAAACATATTAGAATCTTCATCTAGAGTAATTGAAATTAAAAAAATGAAATATCTTAATAATAAATTAAATCTAAACTGATTGAATTATTTTTAGGTAAAGTGTATGTTTAATTGTAAAAAGTTGTAGATCCAATAATACAGAAATAAAAACAAACTTTATTCAAATAGTAATCTAATTATATTTATTATCATCTAAAAATTAATTGAATAAATACTTTAAAAAATTTAAATGTTAAGGAAAAAAGAATTATGAAAATAATAAGAATAGACACATGAATATAATTAAATAAACATACCCAGTCTAGAGATTTCCCTTGGGTCTAGTTTTAATTTTTATATTCTCTTTTCTGCTCTGTATTTATATTTTATAATTATTGTTAGTCTTCTTGCATTGTACCCTTTATTTTATAATTATTGATTGTCTTCTTGCATTGTTTGCCTCCGCCCGACTCCAGCTACCAGTCGCCCGCTTGGATCCAGCCTAGGTCCTCCTCCTCCACCTTCTATTTTCTTCCTCTCCTTCTCTTTCTCCTTCTTTTTGTATTTCTTGAAATTTAGGGTTGGTGATGTGCCCAAAGAACGACACTAGACCGTTGCTCCAACAACTCAGATTCTTCAGCCATAGCCGTCGAGGTTGAAGACGAACCCAAGATTAAAGACGGTGTGTAGTAAATATATTCTAGGACAGTGAATAGTGAATGCAGTGAGTAATTTTAATGTAGTGATTATGACAACAAGTGTTGTAATATAGAGCATTTACATTGGCAAAAAGTGCAACATACACCAGTAGACGTAAAAACTAAAGTTATATAATCTAAAAAACTATAAATTCCTTACATTTTTGTAATGTCGACATAGAGTGCAATATATAATATTCCCTCCGTCCCATTTAAAGGTTCCCGTACACTATTCTCCGGTCAACGTGCATTGTTCTTAATCTTTTACTTTTTATATCGAATGTTTATGAAATTTAAATTATTTTTTGCAGGTTTTGTAGCGGGTTTAATGTAGTTTCTGAATATGTAAATTCTATTTACTAAAAATAATTCTAGTAATGACAGAGATCAGTTAACTTTTTGGTCAGTGAAACATCATAAATCGTGTGGGAACCTTAAAGTGGGACGGAGGGAGTATTTAATTAGATGTAAAAATTAAAGGTATCAAATCTAAAGAGAAATAAAAAATAGTAAATTCCTAAACTTTTTATCATGTCGTGCAGAAACGCATTTATTAAGTGAAGTAACGTCTGCATAAAGTACAATATTTTTATTTGAACAAAAGTAGTTCAAAATGCAATTTTTTAAAATATTACTTCCTCCGCCCCCCTAAGTTTGGGACAAGAGAAGGTGACACATTTATTAATAAAAGTGTGTTTATGTGGTTGATATTGAATTGATAAAGTAAGAATAAAGTATGAATGATTTAGAACCACACAAACTTTACCAAATAAGGTATGAGACAATCTTTGTGGGATGGACCGAAAAGGTAAAATGAGACAATCATAGCGGGACGGAAGGAGTAATATTTTTTGCCCTTCAACATTTTAATACGACGAGATTTTTTTTGTTTTTTACTCATACGAATGTCTGAAAACAAACCTAATCATTTCCAGGAAACTCAATATGTTTTAGTCATATCTCGAGAAATTTTCCGAAAAATAAAATAAATCTAAAAGACTAAAATAGATGGCTAGGATTTATTATTTTCATTTTGTAAATTAATACATTGTATGTGATCCTTAATATATATATATATATATATATGTTGGTCCCGGTTAATGTGGTAACAGTCTAGAGGGGGGGGGGGGGGGTGAATAGACTGTTAAGGTTTTTAACTTTTTTCAAGTCAAGTACCAAGGTAAACAGAATAGCCTGTTCTGTTGAGAACAGACTGGCAGCGGAGGTCTTCTGGTAAGTGTTCTGTCGGGATAGCCTCACAGAAGAGTAAAGGCACTTGGCCTTCTGGTAGCTCACAAGAGGTGTTCTGCTGAACACAGATACCACTTCTTTGGAGTTGACCAGTTTGCAAGTAATAAAAGCAGTAAGTAAAAGACACCAGGGATTTTTATAGTGGTTCAAGGAACAACTCGTTCCTCTAATCCACTGTTCCACTAAGCTTGTAAAACAACGGTTACACCGCCTTAGTCCCTAGAACTTAAGAAGCTCTCCACGTCTTCTTCAAGTCTAGATGTCTCCTGGGATGCACTTCCTTGCTTCCTTTAAGACTGGTCTTGTTTCACTGAGTCTCCTTGAAGTATCTCCACTTCACTACTCGAGCTACTTTAAGACGTCCTTCTTTGCAGAAGATGTTCTGTTGAAAACAGAGTTTTCTCCAACTTGCTTCGTCACAAAAGATTTGTAATGAGGTGCTTGAAGAGTTGAAGAACAGTAGGAACTTTGCCCTTGTTGGTGATGAAGAGTATGTGAACTTATGATCTTCCCAACGAAGGCCTTTCTTGTTGATGGAGTTGGAGTGTTGAATCTCAAGAAGGCTTTTTGTAAATAGAGCACAAGTTGTGGCAAAAGTTACTTGGTTGTTCTTCGAATAGTATCTTTTATACTGAGGTTGTCTTCCCGTTGGAGGAGGAGACAACTGCATTGAATGCGCGTACAGTTTGAGTTGACCGCCTGGGCCCACAAGTTTGGCGGCTTGCTATTTTGGGATAGGCTTTCCAGGAATCTCGGTCAATCATCAGCTTTTACTCTTCGGAGCATGGAGCTCATTAAATGAGCATTAAATGCAGTCCTGTAGCTTTTCC